ATGTAAAGTAGGTTAGTGAGTAGAAGAATGAAGTTACAATCAACAATCAGAAGCACAGTAGCTATTATATATACCATCCACCCCCCGCCCCCCCACCCCACCCCTACCCCCGCCCTGCAGAATAGTCAGTTGGTCACCAGCTCGATCCAGATGGTCAAGACAACATATAAAAGAAAACATGGTGAAGAATGGTGTCTCCTTTGGTCGGTGGGAATACTCAAAGTTGGTTATCCATAGGAAAACCAAGCCCACTGATTACTGTCCCTGACACGGTGTATTTCTGAACCATGTGTGCTAAAGAACGTCAGGTAAACATCATGCCAATCTTCAAATGAGCCAGAACTTCAACTATGTCCTAAATAACCAAATCAGGTACGATAAATACCTGTTGTGAATTTTATTCTGCCACATTCTGAAAAGATGAAATGCCAATCCAATGACCCCTCCGGTTTGGTCACACAGTGATGGACACAACTTGTTGAAAGCATCTCATGCTGTGATCAATGGGATGCTTACTATACCGTGACACAGACACAACCCCGGAAGACATACTTGGACTGGGTTCTGCTGAGGGTGCATTCCTTCCAGACCCGACGGACCATATGATTGTGGAGTTTTGGAGGAATCTTCCCCGATCTCTTTGGACTGTGCATAGTTATCATTCCCCCTTCTTGGGAACCTAGGTGATTGACAGCACTCTGCGTACCTCCACTCTCACCTGGGAAGGGGGGAAAGACAATGTGGAAAGTCAGAATTTTTCTGAACATGTCTGCTAGCATGTAGATGACTGGCGTTAACAAATATACATTTTATTTGCCATCATGTATTTATATAGCTTTGCCCCAGCCCCAACGCCACCTCTTAACTATGTGTGCCATTTCCGTCATGGCTCTGCTCTTTCCTAAAGCAGCAGCTCCCACAGTCCCAGGAACACCATTCCTGCACACAGACAGCCCATGGGGCAGAGACAGTGCGCCAGCATAAGCATGGATCCAGCCCACCAGCAGGGCTTCCACCACACAATATGAAAGCTGGAAACAGGGTTTCTCAATCCCAGCACAGGGACATGCTTCCAGACAGAACAGTAGAGGGGGCTGTGTGCCCGTGCAGTCAAGAGGTTGTATAACTGCACACAGTGCCCTGGGTAGGAGAAAGGAGTTAAAGGCACAAAGCTTTTAACAAGGTCAAATTTCAACTATGCGTGCGGAACTGTTTGTCCTTATGCCTGACACTATTTTTGAAAGCGTAGTACTGAAACACCGAAAGAGGTTGTCTTGACATTTTCTATCAGGCGGCTATGAATTCACTGGTTTCTCTTTGCTAACTCGCTCTCGTTTTTCCAAATCTCGTTGGTATGCAATCCGCCCCCTTCCCCTCTACCCACTATGATCACCACTGGTGATACTGTCTCTGCATGATTTTATGAATGTTCCCTACTTCTCTCGTGTAGAAAATAAATACTACAGTCCGTTTCCAATAATAAATTCACTCCATTAATTTCATCTATTTGATTTAATAAAAGTATTGTTGGTTTATTCTCAGTAGAGCCATTACGCAAAGCATTCTTACAGAAATAATCAATTGAAAGCACTGTGGAAAACATCCACTCCCATGTGAGGCAGAAAGAAGCAATGCTGAGCCAAAAATGAAACATTCTTGGTGTCAGTGGAAGAAACACTCTAAATGCTTATGTTTGAAGGACCTGAAGTATCCTGTTCCACAATAAAGTACTATTACATCACACACGAGGTCAATGAAAAAAAATGGGTATTTGGGTCTTTTAGTGCTACTGTTCATTTTTCCAAGTTTCCTGACTTGGGTCATGGTATAAAATAATTTCCATTTTACAGATGATTTTTAAAGGCCTACTACGAAACTAGCAATATGAAGAAACAGAAATAGGTAACAGACTTTCTTCAAATAAGCCTACAATACGACTAAAGAGATCAAATGTCCATGGCATCATAAGGGAATCACTTATGACTGGGGGAAAAGGGGAGGGTCTGGGGAGGGCAAGGCAAAGAGATTTTCCTGATTAAAGCTGGGCTAATGCTTTTATAGGACTTAATGCTGTAACTAAAAGAAGGTGGTACCTTACATAAGAACAAAAACCTCACTGTCATCACGTCCATTCAGAATCAAAACCACCCTCCAGCACCGCACAGAACTGCCCTGTGGGTTGCAGAGACCCTCACTTTGTATGGGACTAGAGAGTCTTTATCTGTCACTCGGGGAGCAGCTGGTGGTTTTGAATGGCTGACCTTGCAGTCAGCAACCCAACATGCAACCCACCACCCACCAGGTGGTGAATTCCTTACATGGAATTTAAGAAAGCTCGGAGTCAGGTATGTGCACTGGAGGTGAAGCAGATGATGCACTGGGGCCGCTAACTGCAGTTTTGCTGCTCCCATAAAGGGTTACAGTCGTGGAAAGCCACAGGGGCAGTTCTACTCCTGTCGCTATGAGTCAGAACTGACTCCCTGGCAGTGAATGGTGAGTAGGGGTAGTCAGGTGGTTCAATGCATGCTGAATGTTGCAACTTTATCTCTACAAACCGGAGACACTCGCTAGTGCATCATCTAACCAGCTAAGGCACGAATGATTTCTCCAAAACTAGCTTGTCTTCCTTGAACATCTCAGAAACGGTCAGCCATTTGAGAGGGCAAACAAACCCACCGTGTCCCTGTCCCTTCAACTAGGAAAGCTTGGCTGTGGGTGGGTGGGGGTGGGTGATTCTCTTGGATACAACACCAAGGGCCCTTAGGCTCTAATCCCACATACGATGATGTGAAAACTGGAGTAAATTAACTTCACTACAAAGATACCAACAACTTTTATTTAGGACTGAGATGGGATTGGGGGTGGGGGGTGGAGCGCGCGGCGGCGGTGGCAATCCAGGGCCTAGCACAGACTATGCATAGTGTTAACATGAAAGGATTTGCAGGTGTGTGGTTATGAAATCCACACCGAAACCACTATAAACAAAACATCATATTCCTTACATTGTGCACTTTACAGCAACTTGGGCCTGCTCGGAGCTCAGCCCCTAGAGCAAGGCACCAGGAACCCAGCAGGCCCTGGTTAAACTACACACACATTTCACTGAATACCACCAAAATAAAGGGATAACAACGTCAAACTTTAATACAACTATTAACCATCCAAACCTTCACATAAAATGTGGCTGAAACATTTAAAAACCAATACAGATATTCCTAACCTTTGTATGAATATATCTTCTCTTCTTGGCAATGATTACTATAAGACACTGTAACAGCTTAGTCCAAAGGGTCAAGGGCCCCTGTGAGTCATAGCCTCCACTAGCCTAGGCTGGCTCCTACCACCAACTGCTGTTCTGGCTGGGATCTCAACAGAAGGGCCTGGGCAGAATGGGAGAAAAATGTAGAACCAAGTTCAAAATCACTAAAAAAAAAAAAAGCCCCGTCTGATAAGAGACTTGTGGAACCCAAGGCTAAGCTTCGGACCTGCAGCTAGAGCCACCCTCAGGATCATCACCTTTCAGTCAAACCCTAGCCAGGCCTTCAGAAGGGACAGTAACACCTGGATGGGGCACTCACGTCAAAACAATCCACCGTGACCAAAAGGACAGGAGGAGCCAGAGAAGAAAGAAGAAGGTGCACAGGGCCCAGGAGGCGTGGGAAGAGGACCATGACACTGAGGGGACGGCACGTAATGCCACGCTGGATGGAAAACTAACTGCTCTGTCACTTGTCATCCAAACCAAAAAATGTTCAACGAAAAAACAAAAACCTATCTATAAAAGTGTGGGGGTTTGCACCCCTCTTCCCCGCAGTTTAAATGAACTGGAATAAAAATTAGCTTGTGGCAAATTCTCTCACAAGGGACCACTCCAATTCTCTGCTCCACTGTACAGTGCTGTATGTACTTTGTTCCTTACCATCGCAGCAGGTAGCCAGTCACCTTGTTAAAACCAGAAACTACGTTTTGTCATTTTCTCCCTCTCTCACACATAGCTGAGTAATTCCTTTCCAATGACTTAATAATGTGTGCCCCGACTGGAGTTCTAAGTATTGTCCTGAATTTCCGGAACTACCATTTGCACACAGTTTCACTACTTACAAAGTATTTTCAATTACAGTACCTCATATGTGTAAAAGCCCCTATATAAAGTATGTAGTAGCTATCAAAAACAGAAACTGAGGTTCAGACCACATCTGTGAAGTGAATCAGGTTTCTCCACCAGTAATCCATGTTTAAAAACTAGGCGTGTCCATTCACAGAGCCCATGCTCTTCCCCGGCATGTTCTCTAGCCCCGCCATTAGTGAATCGCCCCTGCAAGGGCAAGCACCCCGCTACAGACACTGAAACACTCTTATGGAATCCTTACACAAACACCCATGTGTGGCTCACGCTGACCATTTGTCCTCAAGGGTAAGCAATAGCCATGCCCACTGTGAATGTGCCCATTGAATGATCTCATTTGAATCCGAGTGTGATGATGATCCTTGTATTTATAGTGACCAGAGCCCCAAACAAATTGAGTTCCACCACTACCACCACAAACAACAAAAAGCCATATAGGAAATACAGCACTCAACAAAAAAAACAATAAACTGCTCCCCCGGGGAACACATTTCTGAGTTCTTACATGAAGGAAGACTATCCATCCATGCTGTGAACATTTTCACAAGTAGTTAGCAGTCACTACTAATGCAGATAGATTACTGACAAGGCACAGCACCTCCCCGCTAACCCTCTGCTGTAACCAGGCAAGACTTACCCTAGACTGCCCCAAGCTGGCAGTGGCCATTTGGGCAAAGACGGAGGCCACTGTGTACCAAATGGGTGGCGTGTATGCAGAGCTTGAAGAGAAAGCACTGAAGTGTTGTGGGACATGGACATCATTAACATTCTGAAGCGCATAATGCTATTTAAAAATCTCCTCTTCGGTTTTATAAAATCCCTCATAAATTCTACCCTCCATTATCTTCCACTAGAACTTTCTCAAAGTGGATGTCCTCATCTGTCCATAATAAACAGAGGAAGGCCACGGTGTCCCGGGTCCTCTTCCTCCCCATCTGTCTTGAGAGTGTACTCACCTAGGAGAACCTGTTCTGGAGAGGTGGGAGGGGTAAGGGGCATCCCACCATTACTTGGGTCTTTTACACTCCCCAGTCCTTGCTGCCCCGCGGTAATATGGCCTCCAGCATTGGCAACGCTTTGAGGAACTGGGATGTCGTTCTGAGAGATCAAAACAAAAGCCGAAGGATAAACCATCCGAACGCCACCTAGAATAGAGAGAAGCCAGCCTGAGAACTGCGTTCATATCCAAGACTGCCGAGGAACCTGAATCTGGTGGACAACATTAAAGGTCAATGGTTAAAAAAAAGAGGTGTTCTCGGAGCACCCGCCCAAAGGGCCTGCGCTTCTTTCCTTCAGTGCAGGTGAAGGGTTAAGTCTGTGCTCCAACACAGTAATAGCATTTGGAATACAGGGACCGCTGGTGCTTCAGGCAAGGCAAGTCCTCCACATATTCTACTATGTCAAGAGAATAAAAAAAGATGGCGAAATGATACAGCTTGTTTCTGATGAATCTAAATGATTATCTTTTTAAATTAAGACAGATCGAGATGATCGAAAAAGTTCTTCAGGCAAAATATTTTCCTCTTACCAACAATTACTTCGACTGCCACAGGGAAATCATCATCATAGCCCAACTCCTCTTCCTCCTTCAGTTCTTCTTTCTTTTTCAGCACCATTGGGTAGAAATACTGCCATTCCTCGATCAACTTACGGGTGGCTGGATCGGACATCTTGTAAGCTTGGCCTGTTAGCGTGCCATTTAAGCCGTAAGGACTGACCAGGACTACAGGGTTGGGGGAATGAGAAACGTGAAGTTACAGATCAGATATCATTCCCGCTGAAGTTTAACACTACATTGGTGGTCCTTTTAGGGTAAAGCACAGCATTACTTCATGTGCCAGGGGGCTTTCAAAATGTTCCTGGAAAATCCCATCCTCTCTTTATTCCATTTTTCCACCAACTTTTTGAAGCCCCCTCGAACACAACTCTTTATTTCTTAGTCCTTTTTAAAATGTGATTTTAAAAAGTTACTAAGTATAGTATGCCTTCCATTCTCATTCTCTCTCTCTCTCTGAGATTAAGTAGATGTCTTAATGGGCATGGTTACAAGCACTAGCACCAACCAAAAGTTCAGCAGTTCGAACCCATCAGCTGCAACATAGGAGAAAAATGTGGCAGTGTCCTTCTGCAAAGACTTACAGCCTTTGAAAGCCTCTGGGGCTGTCTGACTCTGTCCTATAGAGTCCTATGACTCAGAATCAACTTGTTGGCAATGGGTTTGCTTTTGGTTTACCAAAGTATGAGGCAGCTCTATCAACATGCTGTAGGTACCCTATTTGCACATTAAAGCATAAGTGTGTTTCATAAAAGCGAACACAACGGGAACCCTGAATCTTTCATAGAAAAATAAGAAAGCCATTCATACCAACACTCTCAAACCTGCCTAGAACTTGACCATCCTTCCTGTGGTTCTTGAGGTTGCCAAAAGATCTGTGGTATTCAGAGAATAACAAATAGTGCAACACTGCCATTAACAGGAATGTCTTCCTGTGCTAAGCTAGAAGCCTCACAGTTATTTCCGTTTTAGAGAGCTGTTGATAAAACAAAGTAAAATGTATCTCCACTCCCAGAGTCCTCCTGTCTTCCTCTTTCAATGTGTGACCTTGATGTCATTTTCACTGAGCTAAACACAAAAATATAGTTAGCATGGTACTATGAATAACCCAGCCAGCACTTAGCCTCAGGCTTAGTATTTCAACCTTTCAAATAATACTTTTCTGGGGGCAGAGGTCACTTTTACTTAATTGCGATTTTTAAAAGAACACCTCAACAGTCATGGAGTGCTCTCCAACTCACTGTCATCAAGGTGAGACTGACTCACGGCGGCCCTAGAGGGCAGGCAGAACTGCCCCAGTTGGTTTCTGAGTCTAAATCTTCATAGCTAATAGACAGCCTCAACTTTCTCTTGCAGAGCAGCTGGGGACTGATACCACTGGCTCTGTGGTTAGCGGCTCAATGAGTAGCCCAGGATACCACCGGGGCTACTTAAGTCACTCAAGAGGCCCTTTTTATTGGTACTATGACAGCATTTTGTGTTAACCTGCAGGGTGGTGTAGCCCATCCACCCGGGGAGAGGTAGTAGTATCCACTGCACTTCTTTCTTGGTGCCCTTTTTTCTGCTGCTCCTCAATGACCCAAATGAGATGAAAACACTGCCTCCAACCAACACCACTTGGCAGGGGCAATCTTCCTGCATCCACACTTCTGTGGGAAATGCCCACAGCCATTTGGATAGCTATGTCACCTTTAATTATCTATGGGCCAGCACCTACCCGAAGTAGCCATCTCCTCCACACCAATCAGGGCCAATAAGCAGGGTAATGTCCCCCCAAAAGTGTTCTATAGTACAAGGTATTAGTGTCAAAGCAGTAAGTTTTAAAAATAAGGAGCCTAGAGAAACCTGGTCTGCCTGATATCATCTTCCTCAATACAGAAGCCAGTTCAATTTCCTTCCCTCCTGAAGGGCAGCACCCCTGGTTACTCCCATAAATGATGCTTTCAATTTCACATGCTAATGTTCAGATGAAGTCAGATAGTCCTCTTCACATTTATACTCAAATGTAGTGCTTACAGAATTCTGAGAATCGTCTGTGTATAAGGTACAACTTGAAAACAGCTTGGGGATTAGGTGTTCTGGATTTTATAGTTCATCCATCAAACACCCCAGCTTACAGAAGGGTCAAGTACACCGCTCAAAATGTATTACAAAAGGAAGGGTGTCTGGCTAAAAATCAAGAAACAGTTTGATGACAGCTCTATGTTCTTTTCTTACCTTATAAACCACTTGTCTTTAGGGCAACCATTTTAATATAAAGGCTAAACATTCATATGGCAGGCTGTCAGAGTAATATAAATACTTTACCACATTTGTTAAAATATCGTTTTCAAAAGTACATCCCATCTGATAGACTATTTCAACCAAAAAGGATTTTCCATATTTTAACATTTAAAAACAATTGTTTATGGAAAATTATGATTCCCAAAGACATAAGTATGAATTTAGAATGCATAATTGGATAAGAGGACATGAGGAAATTTTGGTAACATCTAAATGGTTACTAGGGCTGAGATTGTTAAAATATAAACAGTCTAAATTACAAGCAATGTCGTCTATAAAGGAAACAAATACTAAAGAGATCCACATCAGTGAAGACACTAGACACTGTATCTAAAACCCAAATCAAATCAAGGCCACAGTGACTGAGTTGGTGCTGACTCATAGTGACGCTGGGCACAGACAGGGCTCCTCATGAGGAGCACACGACCTCCCCCTCCTTTTCATGGAATGGTGTGAACTGCTGGCCTTGCCAATGCCCAATGCTCACCCCACAGTGCCACCAGGGCCCAATAAACCAAAGCCATGGCCACAGCGCTGATTCTGACCTCCCAGTAACCCTGCATACTACATACAACTCTAGAAATTTGATTTTGGTTGAAATTTCTAATGCTCAACTGACAATTAATGTTTTGTAAGTAGAGTGCATCCTTACATTTCTGAACTGTGCTGATGTTATTAAAAATGGGGGGGGGGTGTTTTAATTTGTTAATTTCCTACTGAATTAGATGTTGCAGAGACTGATAGATCTTGTGTTCTGAAGTTAATTCTCATTTAATTCCTCAATACTATTTCACATAAGATCATGCTTTGTATGTAACAAATATCAGCGAACAACTGGCGAGCCGTTATCACTAAACTTGTGAAATAACAGTCTTTCCTTCCCTTTCAGAAATTGCCTTTTGTGTTTCGCTTTTAAATGTCCATTTCCACTAATGTTCCATCTGTAGATGTCGACTTGGGGGGGTGGCAGGTGGAGGGACTTGGTCAGGGATTTACCTTGAAACGGTGCAGGTGAAGACTGGGCCATGTGGATGTGCTCCTCGTTGATCAGGTAAATGGGCTGGTGTTGAGCAATCTCCACACTTGTGCATACATTACTTTCCCCATGAAGAAAGAAGGTGAAAGCACAGGACAAATGCTCACTGCAAAGAAAAAATGGACACTCAGATCTGCAGCTGGGTAGAGGCAGGGACGATCAACAGCAAACACAGCTTCACAATTTCCATCAGCAGGTCCAACCTCTGAGAATATTAATGCCATAAACCTCTAGTGGAGTGCAGACACACAGAATGATAACTTGTTGAGATTAAGCTAAAGCTGCGAGATAAATGTCTAGAATTAGTTATGCTGCATTCAGAACTTTGGAAGGCAGCTGTGATTCCTGCTCCATTTGCACAAATTCTCTATCTCCTGCGCCGGTTACAAACTAGTAACTTTTCTGCCTTAGCAGTGACTAGGCACCTGGGAAAGACCCATTTGTCTGTCAAGTCAAAAGAATGAGAAAAGCTTTTAAACGCTAAAAAACAAAAACAAAACACCAAAGTGGCTTATAAATCAAACAGGAAAACCACCCATAAACTGGCTCTTTAACTGAGTCTCCGGACAAGGACAAACAAGTTATGCGTATGCTTGATACAGAGTGACATCAAAGTCGTCAGGTTTGCCTCATGACCGTAAAGTGAAACTGTGTTGAAACTGTGTATCTAAAATTAACACTTATAAACTTGTTATACTTAAATTCCCATTCAAAGGTAACAAGGGTCTTTAAAATTAAGCTGGTAATCTAGTGTTCTTAAAGTTTACAACATACATCTGATGACAAGTTTTTATTAAAGTACTCTACTGATCTGTTTTCCAGAGAACTGAAACAATTATAAAAATGAAGAGTCTGGGAGGAAAAAAATCCAAAATTATCACAGTGGCACATACTTTGAAAGCTGTTGTCTTTGGTCTTCCTAACACATCTTGCTTTCTACACACTGCCTGATTATACTGGGAAGCAAGATTACTAAACACCACAAGGAGACTACTTTACCAATCATCCCAAGATGTTGCTCTTTTTAAAAAATCTCTAAAATATATTTGAATTACTACTCCAGAGAATGAAATTCTATGTAAAATATGAAATCATAATGCTTTATGGTAAACAAAAATAGCTTTCACTTTATCACACACGGTGAAGCATATGCTCTGCTTTGACAAGTGCAGCCTTGCACTGCATGTCTATTCTGGCAGTGTCTTCTGACTATATGCACCAAGTTCATGGCCCGAACCCGTGCAATGCCTATCACATGGAAAATGATAGGTATATACAATGACTACAAATAACAAATGACCACTACCTTTGTAGCATGTATATTTTACTATTGTTAGCATTATGATTATGATTAGACTAAAGATGTTTGAGAGTACCTGGAAGTGCTTTTTTTTTTTTTTAATGCACAACCAGGTAAACTACATACAACAACTATAAACCAAACTGCATTCTAAGACAAACACTTGACTCACATTAGCTATAAACTGCACCTATTGTTCCAATTTATGTACAACTTGACTTAAAGACAGCCCAGTACAGTTAATTACTTCATGTAGCTGGCCACAGTCTTTGTGATTCCTACCAAATGAATGGGTAGGACTATGTAAATGTGAGGTATTTGTGGCCCATCAAGGAACTGGACAACTTACTTGTAATGTCAATAAGATGCATGGCAACCAAGTGGGATAGAGCCATGCAAATAAGGTATACAGAATTCTAACGTGAGGACTGGTCAGCTTTGCCATTCTGCTAGGTTTAAAACAGACCCCCTAATAAGCAGAAAAGGGGGAATCTCACTGCCATCAAGAAAGAAGAGGCAGGAGTGGAGCACATCCTTCGGACCCTCAAGATCCCTACCTGAGTAATCTCTGAATTAGGATCAGGAGACAGAAAAATGTGATACCAGAGAAGCAGGATAAAAGTGGCAGCAGTTGAGGGGGCAGAAGCAAGTACAAGGCATAGGATGGGCTTCCTGACCCCCAATATAAGACAGTGGAGCTTTCAGTCAAAAGACTTGCTGGTAAGAGTGAGCTGCCTCTCCAGTAACTCCATGAGAAGAGCTAAATTTGCCAACCCAAGGAGCTACAGCTAAACTGAGAGCCTTTGGGGCAAGGCCACTGGGGAATGATTGCAGTGCCTTTGGGGCATGTTACTTGTAGCGCAAAAGAGCTTTAGAGCATTGCCCAAACAGGGTAGAAGCCAAGAGGAGACAATCCTAATCCAAGAATTGTATGTTTTTATTAAAACACTGTATATACGCCAAGCTTTTCCAGCACATCTTTTATGCGGTTTTTGTGGTAAAATTAGGTGCCTTGGCTGATATTTGGGCCGGCTTATACTCGAGTATACTGGCATATGTTTATTTCTGGCCCTGAATTATAACCCATTATCTTCATTTACAAATCCCATAATCATGAATATGGTCTGTAGAGTTCTGTGTGGCCACTGCAATGAACTACAAAAACCAGCAGAAAATTGCCATGGGAAGAATGGTTGAATAATGATATTGAATAATGATAATGAAAGCTACAGCAGGCCCAGACAGGTCTGACCTCCCTCCAGTTCATAGGAATCATTGGGCTGATGTTGAGTTTGGTTCTCTTTGCTCCCAGCAAAGTCTAAGGAGGTCAAGTGTCAAGCCCACACAGGTTTAACATTTAGAAATGGAATTTGTTCATAATATGCATATTTAATATGGCATTATACAATGTCCATACCTTGTAACATCCTATTTCACAAAATATATCATTGATGTTAAGCAAGACTTGACTGTACACTGAGATGATCCAAGACAACTATTTTACTAGAATGTGGACTTTCATCAATAGAAAACATCAAGTCTTGTTTGGGTTATTCAGTATATAACAAAATAAGCTCAAAATAATGAGCAGAAATTTATAAATTAAAAAAAAATCTTCATTCCACTTGGTATCAGACTTTGACATTTCAAGGTCATAAGGAGGAAAATATGCACATAAACATAATACAGGCAATAAAATAACACTAGCGGTAAAACATGCTGTCCTTTATAAAAATAACCCTAGACACCTATCATCATCAATATACAACATAATGCCTAACATACAATAGGACCAAAATACTGGACTACTGAAGGTAGATTGGCTAATTTTCCTGTTTATATTCATCCTAATTCATCACAGCCTCCACTGTAGTCAATTGCCTATTTATAGGATAACTGGTTGGGGTTACAGATGTAGAATGTAGCCACAGAATATGTTCTCTACTCTGCAGATTCCCAACTGTGCATGAAAACAAATGCAGCCACCATCCATCCATCAACTACTAAGTGCAAAGAACGGTGCAGGGAGCCTGAAGTGACGCTGAATAAAACATGGTCTTTGTCCTTAAGGAATATATACAAGGGGGCTTCAAAATGTGGTGGAAAGTGGAATTGAAAAATAATGGAATTTTCCTACCAACTTTTGGAAGCTCCCTAGCATGCTAGCAAGAGGAGGGTTATAAAAACACAGGTCTAAGCAGAACTGCAGGGATATAAAGGAAAACAAATGCCACAGGGAGGCTAAGGTGTAGCGATTTCTCTAATGTGAAGGATCCAAATGCTCTACAATTAGAACAAGGGAAAATAAGGCTAAGAACAAAAGTAAAAAAGCAGGATGAAGTACAGAATAAATGTGATTGAAGCCAGATGTAATTTGGAAATGCTTTTCATGGAATTCATGGAGTGAAGGGGTCGGAAGAGTCTGAGCAGGGAGGCTGAAATCACCTCTGAGACGATGGAAAAGCCCAGAGAGATTTCACACGGGAGCCCATGGGAGGTGTGGATCCATAAAGCCAGCGGAATCTAAGAGATGGTTATGGAAATTTCAAAACAGTGGTCCCTAGAATTTTCCCTATTTAAATAATAGTAAGTTTGGAACAGAAAAGGGTCCTCCTATTAGACAAGTACACAGGGTTGTAACTAAATTAATGATCTAGTTTCTTTTTTTAACATTAGTAATGCTAAAAAACAAACTGTGAAGACAGTTCATACAAGATAAAGCAATGAGCAAGTTAAAATGGAAATACAACAGGTCATCAAGTGATTGAATTGGGGGCAAGAAGTGTCACCCTCCTGCACATAAAAGTCAGCTGTTTACCCAAGCAGCTCAGCCCCACAGAGACTCTGGTCTGGGGAGGGCTCCTCAAATGTGCATTCTAGCAAGTTCCCAGATAATGTAGTAGCCACTCCAGGCTCAAAAACTGCTCTCATATTGAGAACCATGGGGTGTGGCATTCTGTAAATCTCTTTCCAGCAATGAAGTTCTATTTTTTCCTATGATTATGTGAAACAAGCAAACAGGATGACAATACTGACTTCAGAGTGTAACATTCTCCTTTTCATCTAGCAATACCACTTCTAAAAATTTATCCCCCACAAAAACAAATGCATGTTAAAAATAAAAGGCTATATACAAAGTTCTTGGCGATAGCACTGGAAACAGGGGAGAGGACCATAGAGGCCTATACAACCACTTAAAAGAAAAATGGTCCTGTCTTTTCCATACTGGTTCTGAAAAACCTCTACCATAAACTGTTATGAGAGGGGGAAAGCAAGATATAAAACTGTATAATATGCCCCTTTTGCATTAAAATGGGGAAGCAGGGGAGAAAATACACACAAACAATTTGATTACATTGGCATAAAATTTCTCTGGAGGAATGCACTTTAAAAACCAAGTAATATTGGTTACTTTTGTAGGAGGGGTGGGGCTCAAGGCTGAGGCAGGGAGAGAGAGAGAGAATTCATAACAGTCTGTTCCTTTGTGAGCCTAGGGCCCTATATCACAAGAAAAGCCATGGTGGTAGTGGTATGGTCTGAAGCGGCCCTGCCTCCCATCCCGGGGGTGGGGGTGGACACACGTGCAGGGGCTGTGCTTACTGGCCCAACTAGAGGAGAACACTACAGGCATTCTTCCTCTCCTCAGAACTGGCTCTCCATCACCGCCTGCCGGGATCACCTCTGATGGAGAATCTGTGATCCAACATATTGACTGTGATCCACAAGTCATCAATAGCTTCATATGTCACAGTTGAAAACTGGGGAGAAAGACTACTCTAAGACAGGAATCCTGTGTTATCTTCTCA